CTTTATAAAAGAAAACTACTGTTGTATTTCATTCTTCCTATTTCATTTTCCCCAGGTTTGTTATTGGGGCTTTCCTTCCGCTTTCTTACTGGCACTCAATCTGACATTTTGCTTGTTAATTAGAGATATAATCTCACAGATTTTTCTGCCCAGGCTGGCTTTGCACCTCAGTCCTCCAGGTCTGTGCCTCTTGAGTAGGTAGGAGCCACTGATACCAGCATTTAAGTTTTTTGATATTCCACTTTACATTTAAATTTTTTTATCACATTTTACATCTTTTTCTTTTTCCTTTTTTTTCTTTTCTTTTTGACCTAGCACTTGAACAATCAGGGCATGGGCACTGTCCCTGAGCTTCTTTTGCTCAAGGTTAACACTCTACCCCTTGAGCCACAACACCACTTCTGGATTTTTCTGTTTATGTGATACTGAGGAATGGAACTCAGGGCTTCATGTATGCTAGGCAAGTACTCTACCACTAAGCATTTCCAGCCCCATTTTACATTTTTCTGTACTGCCTATCTTAACTAATTAATGTAGGTTTTATTAACATTTTTATCTTTAATCCTCATACTAGAGCTATGAATGACTTACCTACAATGTTACAATATTAGAGCATCCTGAATTTGTACAGTTACTCTTAATAGTGAGTTTGTCTTTCTTTGTATTTTACTCTGTTCAGGATTTCCCATTAACATTTCTTTTTTAAATTGTGCTCATCGCTTTGCCAGGTTTCTCTGTTAAAGTATTAAATATTTTATTAAAATTTATTAAAATGTTAATGTGAATAATTATTACTGTATAGTATAATTATATAATTTTATTAAATACTACATATTTTATTAATATTTTCTTTGAACATACTAAATTTTCTTAAAACAACTATTTTGAATTCTACATCTATGAGTTTTCTCAGATTGATTACTATCTGGTCAGTTTCTGGCAACATATTTTGACTATTGGGTGAGGCCATGGTTTACTGAAAGCTCTTGATGCTGTTCGTGTGTGCATCATCTGAGCATTGAAGGATTAGGTATTCCAATTTTATAATATGGCTTTATTCTTATGCATCTTTTTCAGAAATTCTAAGCAAACTGCTTATTTTCTCTGAGCCCATCGTCGCTTCCGCTGTTTTCATTACTGAATGACACCTAAGTAGAAGGTTGCCAAGTAAGGTTTTGATAAGTTGTTATTATTTGGACACTAGAGGGTGATTCAAGCCCTTGGCTTGTCCCAACTCTAGTTGGTGTGTTGTTTAAACTTAGAAAGGTTCCATTCCACAATCTTTAGAGCCCACATGCTGTATCAGGAACCAGTCTAGGCTCAGGGACCCTGTCCCTAGTCCACAGTCACTGACACTGTGGTACTCTGCCCGTCTGGACAGAATCGTCATGGATGGATCAGCCCCAGGCTCCCCCAGGCCATACCATGGCCACTGACACTAAGCTGTGACACATCATTAGATCTCATCCTGCCAAGATCAGTGCAACACCTGGGAAGGGGTACACAAAGTACACATGGTTGTAGGCTGCCTTTCTGCTGAAGTGTACTCATTGCTCAAGACAAGTACAATCAAGCACAGGTAGTCCTGGCTGCAATAAAAATCTAATACTATAATAAAAATACTATAATAAAAATCTAATAATATTTCTTTCTTAGCTTCAGAGCTAGTCTAGAAACTCTGTCCTGATACCAGCCTGAGACTGGTGGCCATTAGGATCTGTCCAATGATAGGTTTCTCCTGCTTGGAACTGATTTCTAGGTTGTATTGCTGTGTTTATTACTACCTTGTTATCCTCAGTGAGTGGGGTCTTACATCATACTCTAATGTCCCAGGTTGTGATAGTGTTGGTGAAGGCAGTTTCTTAGCCTCCTAAGCTAGGTTGGCTACATTTTATAGTTATAAGGGTCTGTGTAGCGTCAGGCACAACAGGGCCCACATTGCAGGTGATGACTATTGAGGCTAAAACACCTGCCTGGTGCTGGGCAGGTCCAGAGCTTCATCTGAGAGTACTGACCTGGAAGTAGCTATGTTGCCCAAGGTCAGGGAATGAGTAGTGGAAATAGTCCTTTGGCTACCAAGGCTGATACTAACTAAAGTCACAGTCTGGGGTGAAGCTTATATCCTGGGCCCACTCAAGGCTGACAAGCAGGCCAGATCTTGACGCTGTCCCTCTGGCACACAGGTTTCCACTTGGTGCACAGGCAGATCTATAGGTTTCTTCTGATCTGTATTTGCAGCCTTCTTTTCTACCCTGTGCTAAGTCTTAGTGGCAGCCTGGCACTGAGCTCAAATGCAGTCCTCTGCTAGTTTTTATTTTGTTTAATTGTTGTTATTTTTTTAACATGGTGAATTTCTCTTTTTATTTGTACTTACTACCTTATGTAACTGTCAGCCCTCTATACATCACCTGGACAATAAGTTTTTTAAAAAATTTTAAATAAAAAAAAGACTAACAAATAAACAGCTATGCTAGTTTTTATACCTTGCTTCCCAGCAGGTGGAGTTCTCTCCCCACTGCACTACCACAGGTTGGAGAAAAGGTGGTAGAAGCAATTTCTTTGCTGCCAGTTCCAGTGGCTCAGCCTGCAGTTATTAAATAGTTGGGGAGGGTCGTGAAGTTCTGCCCCAGTTTCGCCATGTTGGGCCTCATTCTCTCTCTCAGATCTTTCTCTCCCTCTCCCTCCCCACCCCCTCTCAGATGCATGTGCACTGTAGGAGGCATCTCTGCTTCTCTGCTTTAGAGCTGGGGAAAGGGTACTTCCTGCTTTCTTTACTTTCATTTTATTATACTAAAGGCAGGCACTGTGGTGTCTTACCTGGATTCCTTGGTCTTGTGAAAGTAGTTTGGTGCATGAAAAGCTATCCAACTTGGTTAATCTGTGGGAGACCTTTGCCAGAGGATCTTCATGAGAGGACCTTCTCAATGTGTTCCATATTCTCTTCTACATATATAATAGACTGCTTGAAATTCACTTGATTACCAAAATGCTAAGGGCTAAAATGGTGTTTAGTAAAATTACTTTGTTAAGTTTGTTGGGACACAACATGATGCCTATCTTGCAATTCTTTCCTTTCAGTGAGCAGCCATAAGGTTTGCATGTGGTAGCCTTCAGCAAAGTGATTATTTACTCCATCTGTCTTGTATTGAAATCAGTACAGATTCATAATCACTTGCAAGAAATAAGATAAGTATTCTATATATTCGTTCTAAGTCTATTTTTTTCTCTCTCTCTCTTTTTTTATTCTTACTCATTAGTTTTCAGGAGTCTGACTGTGACATCTCTTGGTCTCTATTGATTTTGTTTTACCTGTTTGGGTAAATCCAGCTTTTTAAATCAGTAGGTTTAAATGACTTTGCAAATTTGGGGGTAAGTGGTGGTAGTTGGCTGTTGTTTCTTTGGGCACTTTTGTATCCCCACCCTTTTTCTTTGGGGGGACAGAGTCCAGAGCTACAACTCTTAGATTGGCTTTGTGGGGTTTTTTGTATTTTTTGTGTGCCTGTCCTAGAACTTAAATTTGGGTCCTGGGTGTTGTCCCTGAGTTTTTGTGCTCAAGGCTAGCACTCTGCCATGTCAGCATAGCTCTGCTTCCAGCTTTTTGGTGGTTAATTGGAGATAACAGTCTCGTGGACTTTACTGCCCTGGCTGGCTTTGAAGCACAATCCTTGGACTGTAGTCTTCTAAGTAGCTAGGATTACAGGCATGAACTACTGGCACCTAGTAATGGTTCTTAGATTGCTTTTTATAAGCTCATGGGATTTTGAAGCTCTCCTCAATTCTTTCTAGCCTGTGTTCTCTGGTATGCACAGTGAAATATTTCTATCTCATCTTTTAGAGCACTGATTCTTTCCTTTCTTGCTGATCCTCTTTTTGGGTTTTGTTTTCAGAACCAGTATCTGCATAGGATTCTCTTTTGAAGCTTCTATTACATATTTATGTTCAGGCTTTCTATTTTATTTCATTCATTTCAGACATGTTGAGATTATTCATTGAACCTTTTTTTATCCTACCTATTCAGATGTTTATTAGATCATCTTGCGATTCCTGACTGCTCATTATTTATATTTTTTGTTTACTGTATTCTGTGTAACATTTTTTGATTCTTAGTGTGATATTCAGTCTGGGCCTTTTTATGTTCTACTATTAGAGGCCAGCCCAACCTCATTTAAACTATCTGTTTCATCTAGCTTCATAGGACAGTGTTCTAAATAAGGAATGGGATGGATAAGACTCTTTGCCCATTTCACCTGGATGTTCAGTCCCAGGGACCTACTTAACTTACATTGACACCCAAGGAGGAGATTACTTTGTTGCTAAGAGTGATCATGACCATTCTCAGCCCAAGTGGAGATGAGAAGAGCATCTCATTACTTCTAGGTGGCGGGGGGGGGGGGGAGTTTTTACTCCCTACATGATCTCCAGTAATACCACAATGGAGTGGGAGTGAAGATCTCTGTATAGCCAGCTGGCAGAGATATAAGCCCTGGTATACTGCTTGGCTCTTTATAACAACACCATAGAAAAGATGTGAGGCGCCCCTCAAAGGCCAAAAATCCAGGTTCTAGTGGGGGTTCTGTGGTAGTTTGCATAGTGGAGTAGTTACTGTTTACCAGCTTTCTGTCCCACTAGGCTGCTGATACTGCAGCAGAGTCATGGCAGAATAATGCGTCAGTCATAAGTTGCACTGGCAATGAGATGTTTAGTATTTAGTATACGTCTAAGGAAGAGCAAGCATGTGAGTAAATTGATATGCCATCTATGTGGTACATGCAGGTTGCAGGGAGATTAGCATTTGGCAAGAAGTGTATTTTTTGGAAGACATTAAATAAGGTAGCTTATGGGGAAGGATTCTCAGAGTGAAGAGCAAACAGGGACATGGAAGTATTCAAACATGTTTTATTTACCTTGTTCCAGTTAATATTAGCAATTGGTCAGCATTTGTTTTGTGAGAATGTTGACAAGACCCTTTAACTGGAATTTGGTGCCTTTCTCCCTCACAGGGATAAAGCTTCCTGTTTTGCTATCCAGAAAGGATTACAGGCATCACGAAGTGACATTAAGTTCTTTAAACACAATGATGTGGCTGACCTGGAGCGACTACTAAAAGAACAAGAGATTGAAGATCAAAAGGTATGAACCTTTTGAAAAAATTATACAGTTCCTTTGTACTTTCTAACCAGCTAAATTATATATGAAGTGGTAATTTGTCATTGATAACTTGCCTGCGGATCACATTTAGATATTAAGTAAGGGTGTTGCTGCTTATTAAGTGCATTTTGGATTGGAGAGAGTCAAGTCTTACTATAAGTGCCTGTCATTGCCTTGATTAGATAGAGCAGGTTTAGGGAATCTAGGGAATCTAGAGTACTGTCTTAAGAGGATTGAGGGACACAACAATAAGCACTTGATGAGTCGGAGAGATGCACACTATCAACTATATAGTAGCACCAAAAAAATCATGGAGATGTTTTCTAGTGAATTCAGAATAGGCCTATTCATGTCAGAATAAATCATGTGTCACTTACATGGAGGGAAGAATAGCAGATCTTAATTTCTGAATTAATGAATAAAGTGAGACCATTTCCCTGTGATTCTTGTGGCGCTCCAGGCAGCCGTTGCCTGCGGAACCTGAGAGCCTTGTGTTGTGCTTTTCTGTACTTCTAGTCCTCTTCTCAGTTCATTCCCTGGAATCTATATGACCCCTGGTGATGGTGGTTTGAAAGTGGGTTCTCAGTGTGCTTACATGAGAATGGCAGAGGAAGTGTGTTCAAAGCATCACTATGAGGATTATGATTTCTTTCCTCCTACAACTTAGATGGAGAACTGCCTGGTCTGTGGCTCTGTAGCAGGGTACCATGATATGCGGACTGTCCAGGGGGCCTCATCACCACGTCCTTTGTCTCAAACACCCCTTTTCAAAAGGAATTTGTTGATGCAACTCATTCATAAATAGAATAACTAGTAAAAATGTTCATCATATTCCTTAACTTTGTGTTAATGTGTATTTCTGAAAGTATTTACATTATTCATTTCAGATTCTGTCATATTCTTCATGAATATGCATATTTTCATTATGACTATCCATTCTGTGCTCAGTCTGTTGTAGGTCAGGGTTTTTTTTTTTT